AGCCTATAGTCCCAGCAACTTGGGAGACTCAGGCAGGAGGATCACAAGTTTGAGGCCAGCCAGAGCAACTTAGTGAGGTCCTAAGCAACTCAGCAAGACTCTGTCTCAAAAGGAAAAAAAAAAAAAATGTTCAGTGGTTAAGTGCCCCTGGGTTTAATCCCTAGCACAAAAAAAGAAAAAAGAAAAAAAAAAAAAAAAAAAAAAAGCATGAAAGCATGTGGGGGTCAGCACAGTTGGCACATTTTATTTCCTTAATTTCACATCCTACCACTTATATCCATCTGTCCTCTATTATGTGAAATGTAGTTGGTATAGGAACAAAAAAAGCTATGAGTTATACATAGGTAAGCAAATATTTTATTTTAGAAATAAGACTAAACATCAATGATACAGGACTGGAAACATCAGTAGTAGAGCACTTACCTAGCATGCATGAGACCCTGAGTTCAATCCCCAGCACTGGGAGGGAAATTAAAATACAGTATCAAGTGCTTCAAAATTTGTTAAGAGGTTAGGTCTTACATTAGTGTTCTTACCAGGCACACACCCAGAAATGACACAGGGGAGACTTTGAGAGATGTTGGAGATATCTATGATCTTGATTGTGGTTGTTTGCAAATGTCCAAACTTACCAGGTTGAACATATGACATATGTGCAGTTCTTTGTCTATCATTATACCTTAATAAAGCTGTTTTTTATTTTAAAAAAAATGTTAAACAACCATGAGAGCTGTTCATCCACTTATGTTTGAAAAACTATGGACAGTAGGAACATACCTCAACATTGTAAAAGGTATATATGTTGAACCCAAATCCAACATTATTCTAAATGGAAAAAAATTGAAAGCATTCCCAATAAAAACTGGAACAAGACAAGGATGTCCTCTCTTACCACTTCTATTCAACAGTCCTTGAAACTCTAGCCAGGGTAATTAGGCTAAAGAAGGAAATTAAGGGATATGAAAAGGAAAAGAGTTCAAACTGTCCCTATTTGCTGATGACATGATTCTATATGTAGAAGACCCCCCAAAAAAAAACTCCACCAGAAGATTTCTAGAACTCATAAATGAATCCAGCAAAGTAGCAGGATATAAAATTAACACCCATTGCGCTCTATATGTGTAATATGAAATGAATTGCATTCTGCCATCATGTATAACAAATTAGAATAAATAAATTATTTAATTCAAAAAATTAACACCCATAAATCAATTACGTTCCTATACACCAATGCTGAATCAACTGAAAGAAATATTAGGAAAACTATCCCATTCACAATAGCCTCAAAAAATATAAAATACTTGAGAATCATCTAACAAAAGAGGTGAAAGACCTCTACAATGAAAATTACAAAACACTAAAGAAAGAAATTGAAGAAGACCTTAGAGGATGGAAAGATCTCCCATGTTCTTGGATAGGAAGAATTAATATTGTCAAAATGGCCATACTACCAAAAGCACTATATAGATTTAATGTAATTTCTACTAAAATACCAATGATGTTCTTCATAGAAATAGAAAAAGCAATCATGAAATTCTTTTGGAAAAATAAGAGGCCCAGAATAGTCAAAGCAATCCTTAGTGAGGAAAGTAAAGCAGGAGGCATCACAATACAGACCTTAAACTATACTACAGAACTATAAGCTATAGCAACAAAAATGGCAAGGTATTGGCACCAAAACAGACATGAAGACCAACGGAATAGAAGACACAGAGACAAATGCGCATAAATACAGTTATCTCATACTAGACAAAGGCACCATAAACATCCATTGGAGAAAAGATAGCCTCTTCAACAAATGGTGTTGGAAAAACTGGAAATTCTTATGTACCAGAATGAAATTTCACTCCATCTCTAACCCTGCACAAAACTCAACTCAAAGTGGATCAAGGACCTAGGCATTAGACCAGAGACCCTGCACCTACTAGGAGAAAAACTAGGGCTAGCATTCTATCATGACAGCTTAGGAACCGACTTCCTCAATAAGACTCCTAAAGTGCAAGAAGTAAAATCAAGAATCAATGAATGGGATAGCATCAAACTAAAAAGCTTCTTCACAGCAAAGGAAACAATCAAAAATGTGAAGAGAGAGCCTACAGAATGGGAGAAATCTTTGCTACCTGCACCTCAGATAGAGTATTAACCTCCTGAATATATAAAGAATTTGAAAAACTTAATGTGAAAAAATAAATAATAACCCAATCAATAAGTGAGCAAAGGAAATGAATAGGCACTTCACAAAAGAAGAAATATGAATGGTCAATAAATATATTTTAAAATATTCAACATCTCTAGCAATTAAATTAAAACTACACTGAGATTTCATCTCACTCCAGTCAGAATGGCAATTATCAATGTTGGCAAGGACGTAGAGAAAAAGGTACACTCATATTTGCTAGTGGGACTGCAAATTGGTGTGAACACTCTGGAAAGCAGTATGATGATTCCTCAGAAAACTTGGAGTGGAACCACCATTTGACCCAGTTATCCCACTCCTTGGTATATACCCAAAGAATTTAAAATCAGCATACTATAGTGACACAGCCACATCAATGTTTGTGGCAGCTCAATTCATAATAGCTAAGCTACAGAACCAACCAAGATGCCCTTGATAAAGAAAATGTGGCATATATACACAATGAAATATCACTCAGCCATAAAGAAGAATAAAATTATAACATTTGTTGGTAAATGGATGGAACTGGAGACGATCATGCTAAGTGAAATAAGCCAATCCCAAAAAACCAAAGGCAGAATGTTCTCTCTGATATATGAGATGCTGACTCACAATAAGGTGGGGGAAGAGAAGAATAGAAGTTTGTTGGGTTAGATGAAGGGAAGGGAGGGGGTTGGGAGTAGGAAAGATAGTGGAACAAATTGGACATAACTTTCCTATGTTCATATGTAAATACAAGACTAGTGAAACTCCACATCATGTTTAAGCACAAGAATGGTATACTAATTAAAGTAAGTTATACTCCATGTATGTATAATATGTCAAAATATACTATACTTGAAGGTATATCTGAAAAGAACAACTTTTTTAAAAGTAGGGGAACAGTGTATGTATATATGTGAAATATTATGAGGCCATTTAAAATAATTTTTACCAAAAAATAAATAAACAAACTATGAGAGCTGTTGCTATAAATCAGAATATTTGGTTACCTCACAGAACTGTTTGGAAAGCTAGGTATATATAGCACCCCCTCCCCTTTTTTTAGGTACTAGACATTGAACCCAGAGTGATATATCACTGAGCTACACCCCCAGCCCATTTTATTTTATTTTGAAACAGGGTCTCACTAAGTTTCCAAAGTTGGCCTATTAACTTGCAATCCTCCTTCCTCAGTCTTCTGAATGTCTGGGATTAAAGACATGTGCCACTGTGCTCAGCTAGATAAATAGAACCTTAAAGGTTGCCTAGTCAAGAACATCCAAAATAATGCTATAAGACTGGTCTAGTGAGGACCGGTCTATCATCCTTGCCAAGTACTGGAAGCTGCAGCTTATAACCCCAACACCCTAGAGGCTACCACTGTCATTGCTACACCTAATCATCCTGAAACTGAGGGTAAACCTGATTGATGAACTTAGAGTACGTGTCCACACCCAAAGTTCCAGGGAAACTAGGAAGTGAGCATCTGTATTTTCAGTTTTTGTAGAGGCCAGTAAATTCTGTCTCCTACCCAGATCATATGAAAGAGAATTTCCCAAATAAGAAGAAGATTCAATTGCTAGGCAACATAGAAGGACACATCTCCTTTTTAGAATAAGGCAATATAGTGTAGAAAAATCAAGAACATACACCCTATATTAGTCTGTTTTTCATTACTGTAACAAAATACCCAAAGATGAGTACTTTAGAGAGAAAAGAGGCTTATATAGCTCACTTTTGAAAGTCCAATATAGAGGGACTCCATCTGTTCAAGTGGCAATCCCCTTGGCTGCATCACAACATGGCAGATTAGCATGACGGTAGAAGTATGTGCAAGAGAAAGAGGTCATTCAGTGAAATAGTCTTCTAAGGACATTCCAAGACAGTATACAGTCCTATGGTCTACTTGGAAATCCATGTAGACAACATTTCAAAGGAGATACGTTATTAGTTTTGACCTGACATTTAAACAAACTTAAAAAAAAAAAAGATACAGCTAACACTTATCTGTAAGTTTTGAATTTATGTTGTTTCAGCCCATGTACAAAATCAAAGAAAAAAAATAGAGGAAGAGATCAGATGGTAAGAAAGGAAGCCAAAGAGATTCAGGGGCCAGACTCACTCTTTTTACAACTCAATCTGAAGGTAACTAACCGGGGTCCTATGAGAACTATAATTAATCCTTTCTGAGGGGGTGATGCACCATGGCCTGATCACCTCCCACCAGACCCACTTCTTAAAGGTTTCACCACCTCTCACATGGCCACACTGGGGACCAAGCTTCCTGTACATGGAACCTTGGGAGACAAACCACATCCCAGCAATAGCAGGCCCTGTACACCGAATGTCTAGGTGCAAATGATCTGTAACTGTGACTAAGTTACTTAAACTGTAGAAACCTGAGCTTCCTCTGTAAATGGAGATAATAACAGTTCCATTCTTACAGTGCTGTTGTCAGGATTAAAAGCAGCACATTGTAAGTGCTCACTGTTGGATATGAAACATTATTATATTATACCACCCCTTCACTGCCCAGTGTCAACTTCTCTGTGCACAATTATAATTTCAAAAGTACTCTCATTTGAAAAAATTAAATTATCCTCGTGCAAACAAAAATATACTCACTCTTTCTCTGAAGTCTCAAAGTCTAAACAGTTACTACTTCCAGCTTTAAATCCAAGACACTTGGGAAATGCCTGTTTCTTCTGTATTCTGTCATAGCCCTTATTGATGATCTTTAACATGTAGACAAATTTCAATGTTAGCTAATATCAATATGCCCTATAAAAATACGCAGGGTAAAGGATCACTGTAATTTGATTTTAATTTTCATATACTGTGATTTTTTTTTCTTTTTAGAGATGGGGGTCTTATATATTGTCCAGGCCTCTCCTGATCCGCCTGCCTCAGTCTTCTGAGTCTCTGGGATCATAGCTCCTTGCAGCTGGTGCCAGCAGTCTAGACTGTAAGACCAGGTCTTAAGGCTGGGAATGCCCTTTACTGTCCTGATGGCAGTTGCTTCTCCCTCCAAGGTTTGCAATCCTGTTTTCTTCCTTTTGAATATGCTCTGTCACGTTGGGGGGTATCCCTTGAGACCTTGAGAAAGGATATAAGAGAAGTAAAATTTTTGAGAACTCCCATGTTTGGGGGCAGAAATGTAGAGGGAATGATAGATTACAAAGAAACATAAATCTACTTTAGGGTCATTTGGATGTATTATCTTATTTGTAAGTGGTTTCATTTTTGTATCCATATGGCAAATTAAATTATGACTACTGATTGTATGTAAATTATATTTCAATTAAGCTGCAGGAAAAGAAAAATGCATGTATATAAAATTAAATTTATCAACTAATGTTATCAGCAAGTCTGTGGGCAACACATACTCTTCTGGAGAGCTGGTGGGAATGGAAAATTGTACAACCTCTATGGAGAAGAATTAGACAATATCTGGACAAATTACAAATGCGTTTAGACTTTAGCCCAATAATTCCATTTTTTCCTTTTTTTTTTTTTTTTGGTGCCAGGGATTGAACTCAGGGGCACTCAACCACTGACCACATCCCAAGCCCTACTTTTGTGCTTTATTTAGAGACAGAGTCTCACTGAGTTGCTTAGTGCCTCACTGTTGCTGAGGCTGGCTTTGAGCTCAAAATCCTCCTGCCTCAGCCTCCTGAACCACTAAAATTACATCCACTGGATTATAAGCATGTGCCAGAAATCCCACTTTTAAGAACATGTATCCAATATACATTGGCAGAAATACAAAACAACATCTGCACCACACTATTCATTGAAACACTATTTGTAACAGCAAAAGACTAGATCCATTTAAGAGTCCATTAGCAGAATATTGATAAATGATAGTACATCTGTATAATAAAGCACTACACAGTTGAAAATAAATGAAGGTCTTGATGTACTTCTATGAAGTTATCTTCTGGATGTATTCTTAAGTGAAAATATCAAGTTATAGAACATTAGGAATATTATTACTTTTTAATTCTTGAAAATGCTCCATCTTGATTTAGGTATAGCTACATATGATGCATATATAAATACCTTCATTGAGCTATATGAACATTTAAGATTAGTACACTTTACCATATATCTGTTACTTCTCAACAATTATTTTCCTAACTAGATAGGAATGAGTGAAAGAAGAAGAAATGGAGACAGTAGGATTTGTGTATGAAAAGAATGGATTGACCCAATGCAGTGACACATGCCTGTCATCCCAGCAACTCAGGAGAATGAGGCAGGAGGATTGAGATTTTGAGACCAGCCTGGGTAACTTAGCAAGATCCTGTCTCAAATTTTTAAAATAAGCAAAAAAGGACTGTGAATGAAGCTCAGTGCCCTGGGTTCAATCCCCAATAACAACAATAATAACAACAACAAGACTAGCTAGAACAGAATGGAATGACATAGATGAGTTTTCTCTCCTTTCATCCTTCTTCCCTTTTTCTCTACCTTCCTTCTTCCCCTTTGTAATGGGAAAGTCTTAAGCATGTCTAAAAGCCAATGGATGATGAGAAAGAGTAGTTGAAGGGTTGGGTTGAGTACACATAGGCCAGGCACAGTGGTCCACACTTGTAATCCCAGCTACCCAGGAGGCTGATGAAGGACGATCACAAGTTGGAGACCAGTCTTAATAACTTAGGGAGACCCTGTCTTGAAATAAAGAGTAAAAAAGATTGGGGATGTGGCTCAGTGGTAGAGCACCCCTGGTTCCACTCCCTCACCCTCCAAAAAAAGGAAACGAAGAAAGGAATGAAGAAAAAGCAGGTATCATCAATAGTGCAAGGTCCTTGGAAAGTTGGAAGGGTATGAAGGTCAACGTCCAAGTACAGTTGTCCTTAGATGGGGATAAAACATTTCCCCTATCTCAGCAGAGACAGGAGGCTAGAATGGAGACAGCTATAGGGGACTTGTAGGTGTGGGACAAATTTATTCTCTAAAGGGATCAAGAAAATGACAGCACACAGGAAGAGCAGAAGTGATGGTAGAATCCACAAATGGAAATGATTTGAAATACTCATCATGGGAAGTAGGTGAGTAAGAAGTAAGTGGAGTGGGGAAACATAGTAAGGTTGTCCGATATTAAGGGCCTATTTGACCATGTGACTTTTTTTAACAGGCCTAAATGGAACCATCCACAGCTGAGTCTTGACAAAGGAGTACAACTAAAAGAGACTAGAAAGGGCCTTTGGATAATTGGCCAAAGTTACTAAAATGACATGTCATGTAAACTAAGGTGGATAGATGGGGAAGTAAAAAAAAGCAGAGGGTTGGTGGATAAGAAGGGACAGAAAGCTTGAAGGATTGGAGTTCCCATGAGGAGGACAAATTAACTCTCACAGAACTGAATGAAAGATGGTTGATAGGAGTGGGATGTGGCCTGAAAGGCACTTCTTGAATTGGTGGCTTCAGGCATGGCTGGTGATGACAAAGTCTAAGGGATGGCCATGGGTTTGTAAAGCTGAGGCAAAATGGGGGTGCCACACACAGATTGAAAGCTGAGTCTGCACTTCCCACAGTGTGTTCTGAAGACCGTTGTCCAACAGCAGGCTCATGCCCTAATGATGCATTATTAAGATTTGGACATGTCTTACAACCAAAGCATCTGTTTACCATATTTAACTAAGTGTTCTCTGAACCCTTTAATTCCTGACATATTTTTTAGTGTAATATCTGTTCACATTCTGCTAGACTTACATTCTTCCAAATGCACTTTAACAACTCCATATTGTATATCACAAGCTGAAACTCTTACATTAGTGAAACAAAGTAATTATCACAGCCTGTGATCATTTTTTTAAATATCTGATATAATGTATTTCAATACAAAAAGGTTATTTGCTTACCAAAAGTATGTATAGGAGTACAATGCACTTTAAAAACCTCAAAAGGAATGTTTCATTAGGTTAATCCAGTTAGGTTTATCTTACTTTCCTATGAAGGATTTAACCACTAAGCATTAATACACTTCATTTTGAATATTAAGCAGCCTCCTGTTAAAGCTAATTATATTCCTTCTGTGGAAAAGATGCTGAATAATAAAGGTTCTGATATTAATTACATCAAATATGTATTTCTATTCTTTTAATGGCATAATTATACCATATATAGTAAAAAGAATAAATAATAACCATTAAAATGAATAGAAAAGATGTCCTTTTTTTACTTCATTTCTCAGTTATTTAAGAACAATAATTTAAAAGTTGGTACATTATGTACAGTGAATTAATGCTTTTGATGTCCCTCCCTGTAGGAGAATTATCTTACTCACCTCATTGACATTATCCTGGGCTAGTGAAATTTGAGTGGAAGTGAGTTGGGTCACCTAAGAGCAGAAACTTTAAGAGCCAATTCATGATTCCCACCCTTGTGTCATTTCCTTTTGCCACAAAACCAGCAATATCACAGGAAAAGGCTGCTTTGTCAACCCAGGTCCCTGAATAAAGGTAATCAGAGGTTCAGCTGATCCTGAAAGGATACGTATTACAAGCAAGAAATAAATTCTTGTTGATATTAACTATCAAGACTTGGGGATCATTTATTATCACAGCATAACCCAGCCTGTTCTGACTCATACAGAAATCACATTCTCCATATCCTATTCATTTCCCCAAACTGGCAACTATTAATGAACTGAAATAAACATAATCACTAGAATCATAAAACTCTTCTAACAAAACATCTAGAACAGTTGCAGCAAAATTGATTTCATCTCTCATGTCAACTCTAATGGGCTCATAATGATGGCTTGAGTTGACTCTATGGAGAAGTGTTCTGAAGCCATGTCCTTGCCTGATAGAGTGCCATAGTTATTAGCACGTCTTCTGATAGAAGGACAGGAGATAAGCAGCACATCCTTGGTCTGTAAGGCACAACTTGTATTCTGTTGTTTCTGGGTGTTTTTTTTTCCCTGCATTTGCTCAGGAGGCATTTTTTAAATGTACCCAGAAATAAACAAATACAAACTAGTTCACAAAATATTTAGATTAATAAGTAATTTCAATTATTACTTACTGATACAGGGACGGGGGAAAATTGTTAGTATCAGATCTGATCATAGAATTTCTCCTAAGCCAGATGACCGTCTTCTTAGAAGAATCACCAGTGGATGTTTTAGTTATTAAGGTGTCCCTCTAGGCCGCCAGGATGGTGTGCAAGAAGAAAATAGTTTGACTTTTTTGTATCAGAAATGCACGGTAATTTTGGAGTTGGAGCTTAATGAACCAGGAGGAAGGAGAGAAGGGTTCAAGAAGAGGGTCAGAAGGGGCCCAACAACATGGCAGGAGGCCTTGGGGAAGGTACAACCATAGAAGTTCTTCCAGGGGACAGAAAGGCTGCAGATTTTTAAGAATATACAGTTCCAAGTGTTCTGACCTTCTAGTCTATAATGTAACACTCCTAATCCTAAAACACACAAAAAGACACAGAATTATGGGTTGAATTTTGTCCTCTTGAGACCTATATGTTAAAGTCCCAGCTCCCAGTACCTCAGAATGTATCCTTACTTGGAAGTAAGGTTGTTGCAGATGTAGTGAATTAAGATGAGGTCATCCTGAGGTAGGGTGAACCCCAAATCCAATATGGCTGCTGTTCTTATAAAAAGAGGATATTTGGATACACACATGGAGAGTGCCATGTGAATATGGGAATTATGCTACCAGAAGTCAAGCTACCAGAAGACAGAGAGGCCTGAAACAGACCCCTTGTAACCTCAGAGGGATCACAACCCTGCTGGCACTTCAACCTCAGACTTTTGGCTTCTAGAACTGTGAGACAATGCATTTTTATTGTTTAAGTTACTCAGCTTGCATGACTTCATTACAGCAACCCTAGGAAAATAACACACAAACACACACACACACCTCCATTGACCAAATCTTCATTATAGTCTACACCACCCACACAGCCCTGAATAATGGCACTGTGAGGACTGGGGTTTGTAGGGGAGCCCAGTAGGTAGGCAGGCTATGGAGAAAGAACAAGACAAACCGGAGGAGGAGAGTGCGGAGTGGAAACCAAGAATCAGCTGAAGCAGAGACGAGGGGACAGAGCTTCCTTCCTCATGTCCCTTGGAA